TGGGGGTGCTTAGCAAAAGTTGCGGTACCACCACCAAAAAAGGTCACTATTGGACCTAAAACAGTGGATTGCATCTTCATCGGATATGCACATAATAGTAGTGCTTATCGATTTCTGGTACATAAATCTGAAATATCAGATATCCATGAAAATACAGTAATGGAATCAAGAAATGCATCTTTCTTTGAAAATATTTTTCTATGCAAGGAAAAACAAGGTTCAAAACGAATTCGAGAAGAAAGAGACAACGACAATGGTTCAGAAACTGAGACAAACATCGAGATTCTATCATGCAAAATTATACATGGTACATAACAGATTTACCACCTGGCTGCAAAGCATTAGGAAATAAATGGATAATGACACGAAAACCTAGTGGAAAATACAAAGCTAGGCTTTGTAGTTCAAGGATTCCGACAGAAGGAAGGCCATGACTATTTTGATACATATTCTCCAGTAACGAGAATAACATCAATAAGACTGATGATAGCAATCGCAGCCTTAAGAGACCTAGAAATCCATCAAATGGATGTAAAAACCGCTTTTCTAAATGGTGATTTAGAAGAGGAAATTTACATGAAACAACCTGAAGGGTTNTTAAAGTAACAAGAAATTCAGAAGGAATTACATTAACCCAAGCTCATTATGCTGAAACAATATTGGAGAGATTTAAAAATTACTCTAATAGTACGGCAAAAACTCCGTTAGATCCCCAAATGCACTTGACGAAGAACTCAGGGGAAGCGGTTTCACAAAATGAGTATGCACGTGTGATTGGAAGTCTCATGTACTTGACTAATTGCACAAGACCAGATCTAGCGCATGCAGTAAACGTACTGAGTCGATATACAAGTAATCCAGGTCATACACATTGGAAAGCTATAACGAGAGTACTCAATTACATGTGCTACACCAAAGATTTTGGGCTTCACTATGGTAAAGAACCAGCAGTTTTAGAAGGATACAGTGACGCTAACTGGATATCAGATTCTAAAAACTCAAAATCCACAAGTGGATATGTCTTTTCACTAGGAGGAGCAGCAATATCATGGAAATCTACCAAACAAACAGTTCTAGCCAGATCCACCATAGAATCTGAGTTCAT